TTAGAATATTTATACATTAATTTACTTGAATTATAGGGAGATCTGTGACAAGTCTTGTTAATTAAATTAGTGTATATTAGAAGTTGATGTAATTTAAAATGACATCAGTAAGAATCCTTTTCTTTTATTGATTACTTTCCATTACTCTTCTTTGAAAAATTCTACACCATAATGTATGCAAACCTGTTTACTTAATAACGCTAATACCAGATCGGTTAACAATACTTATAATAATTATTATTATGGAATTTGGGGGGATTGTGGGGATTTAGTGATTTTTCAAGCTACTATTCATCATGGACTAACATCAATTGGAGGAATATTGAAAATCTGGGAGCGCCGAACAGCTTTTTCATCCTAGTATGAGACTCCTCAGCAGTATGAACTCATCACTCTGCTCTCCAGGGATGGAACACAAAGCCTTCAGGTTCCGTAGCCAGCACTTTACCATCGATCCACTGGGTTGAAATCCACGGTCCATATTCCCAACTTCTGTCAGTTCACGACATAGTGCGACTATCAGCCGCTGTCATCACTAAGTATTTCCCCTCATACTCACCAGGTTTTCCCCACCGGTCACCACATCTCATTGAATACAAACCTTAAATCAGTAAATCTCCATCAAAACCCCAAAAATGAATTAGTATAGTTCTCATTGGTGACTAGCTTCAAGACGTGATTCCTGAAGTTCCAAAGCAAAGTCATGACCGGTGAGGCAAATTTGATGAGCAAGAGGACAAATACTCAACAGTGATATTCGGTGATGTCTGTGCTGTCATGAACTCACAGAAGTAGGAAATATTTACGTGTGGATTCCGACCCAGTGGCTCGATGGCTAAGTGTTGGCCATGGAACCTGAAGGTTTTGGGTTTGATCCCTAGTGAGCGGGATGATAGGTGCTCATTGCTAAGAAGTTATATACTTGGACGAAACAGCTGTCCAGCATTCTTCCAACTGATATCAGTCCATGATGAATCCCAACTTGAAAAATAATAATGGCTTAATTCTGAAAGATATTTCTTGAGTTTTTGACATGTTATATAGCATCAGTTGGACAGAAATAGTGTATATTTGTTTATATAATAAAATGAAATTGATAAAAGTTAAATGTATAAGATAAGAATGTTTACGCCATTACAACTCGCTTGACAACGCAAAGTTAACTTAAGTAAGCAGTTACAATAGTGATTAGGTTGGTAATACATAAATAATAGCGAACTGTGGAATCCTCAATTAGTTCACTACAAAACAAACGGGAGTTGTTTAGTTCATTTGTAATATTTTCTTCATTGCACAGGATACGAGCTGAATTTAATGCCGTAAAGATTTTATATTTAGTTGTATGTACATAAAGTCTTAAATACTTACTCATGGTATTGCTTGATGACTGACACGTAGAGACCATTGAGTGAAGAGGATGCTGATAATCTCATAAGATAACTACTGTTAGCTGCTTGTAGAAGTTAAGATATTTGTCTATAACACTTTCATTTAGAAGGTTAGAAGTATGCCACTTGCTCTTCTGACAATCTTCAAAGTTCTACACAGTACAGCATATTCTTCCACAGAAACCCAGGAATTAGTGAAGGGGAACAATGGAGGAGAACAGGCAATGTGTAATAGTTTATAAAAGATAATAGGAGGCTAAGTTATACTAAATATACTGGGGATCCTAAAGTAGTAACCTAGGGAGAGGATTCTCAAGGAGTTTAGTTATATATGACAGGACCAGGAAAGTTCTGAAGAAAAACACACACTAATATAAATCACAGGAATCCAAGACCGGTGCTTCACCTATTCGAGACGCGTTAGCTGGATCTACCCGCACCCTAGTGAGCGACGTAGCTTTCCCTGAGCCTCAAACGGAGTACCACTCCGCTCCTAATGCCAAAGCGTTATCCTCTCTGCCACTGGAGTAAGAGATTTACCTGTTGTGCTACGAATATCATTTGTTGTTGTTTTATACATTGTAGTCTCTCATAACTATGCTGGGTCGCATTGTTCAACCTCTGTCATGTTAAACTCTATCCCTTTCTTCTTCAAACAATGTAACCAATAACATTAGAGTTCCGATAATCTTGTTTTAATCAAACAGTAACGCAGATTACTGTCGATTAAAAACTGATTATTTAGCCATTGAGACTTGAATGTACATTCTACACTAGTGAATGTTACTTCTAACTTGCTAAATAAGGAAGATAAAAGTTCGTATATGCTGGATAAGACAATTCTCGTTCATGTGTAATTTCCGAGATTTTAGAGGAAACGCTTGTTATTTGTGAATCCTGACCGTTTTCTATTGCGTAAATTCAATAAGAAGGCAACATTTCACACATATCTACAGCATATAGGTTCAACGGACTGTTGTTATGGAAAGTAACTGGTAAAATTCCAAAAATTACGCCACCGAAAAATAAGTTGAAGTACTGAGTATTTTTATACTAGGATGAAACATTTTTCCAGTTCTTCCAGGTTCTTCGGTGATGAATATCACCTTGAAATCGGTCAAGTTCACAAAACCTTTAAAGTAAGAGAGAATGATTAATTTCCGCTCTCTTACAATCACACCGGACTCTTGTTTTGTCAGTGGAATATTGCCTATCGTTTAAGGTGACCTCCACAGTAAAATGTCAGTTTCTTACTAGCGAATTTCAGAAGATATGGTCCAAGATCCACTTGTAATTAAACTCCTAGAGCCTGTGCTGACTCATTTCCAGCAGTCATTCAACATGGTGTTACTTACGAAATGCATAAAGTCCAATAAGGATGACACGTCTTTACTAGTCTCTCATGATGTAACGTTCACTACTCTGATAAGAGACTTGGATCAGAACTTTTTGTCTGTTGTTCTGCAATACTTTACAACTAATGGGTTGGTTATATTAATTTCATTGTGTTTCCTATTCTTTAGCAGACCTAACTTCTGAATTTATCTACTGAAAAAAAGATAGAATTCAAAAGTTGTAGCATAAGTTTCGAGTATTTGCATTTCGTAAATAATTTTCTGTTTATTCGATCAATAAAGAATAGTTTACACACAGAGAAATTCACTTAAATGAAACGGATGGCATAAAATCATTTGAAAAGCTGAGTGGTAGGATTATTTGTTAACCAAGTTATTTCTTTCTTCTAATTCCAATCGATAGGCTTTATTACTTTAATCAACCACCTCTAGATGCTGCATCTCAAGGTACGAATTTATCACTTTCACTTTGTCTACTTGTTAGTAGTATAAATTATATACTTAAATTTAAGGGATGAATTTCAGACTGCGTGGCTTCATTTGAACCAACACAACTTCGACAATTATAATAGTTGAAGTAGATAAATTTTCTAAATTTCAGTCCTCTGATTATATCTCAAGTAGTGTCCTCGATAAATATGGTTGTTTGCTTATCACTTATCACAGTTCTGTTCGCACTAGGGTGAACAAAGTGGAACCGAACAATTTTATTAGCGTAACATCAGTTCCGAGATCCAAACGTATGAAAATGTGAACTTTTGCAATCGCTTTACATTCAGTAAGATTCGCTACTTTTGAATTAATTGCTTTGTTATCTTTGAAATCAAGACCTTGAGAAAGTGAGGTAGTGAAGAAGAAAACTAAAGATCGATAGGTGGTAATTGAAAGGTAACGACATTATATGAACCATGGGAACAAAGGGTTTGAAAATAAGATATTTTGCCCTTCAGAAAAGCTTATAATGTTTTGGTTTTTCTCCCTTTAAGTTTTATTCTTTCTTCTAGTGAAAAATACAGACAGAAGAAGCGAACGGGCATAAAAATAAAAGATGATACTTATTATCTATTGACTACAGCAATCAAAATAACTTGTGAGATTCCTTGAAACTGAGTACTTTTTCATCTTCTAGGGTTATTACTCTGAATACTACAAGGATCCATTACTATATAGTCCGACTCCCTGTAGGGTCATCAGTGCGCACCGTTGCGGAATCCCATACTAGGACGAAACGGCTGTTTAGTCTTCGCAGGTTGTCAATGGTTCTCCAATTGATGTCAATTTATGAAGATTACAAACTGGACATGTAAATGAGATCGCACCAATGGAGTAACTAAAGTTTTTGCTAAGGCAACTTCCTCTGTTACTATGTCTGTTTCCTATGACTTGTAACAGGAATTTTTCGTTCATTGAAGAAAACTCCTTCCGAAAAGATCTTGTTTTACATTCACTGCATTCAGCGATAACTGAGCCATTGTGAAATGGTGTGTGCGGATAATTCTCCTTGTCTGATGCTAGCAGATGAAAACTAAGCGAAGCTAAGATACTGAGAAGTTTCAATATTCACTGTCACCATTCTTAATTAACCTTCTCATAAATGCTTTACCCTGGAGAGCACCTGGTTGACTCAGAGTTGCACGCATCAACAAAGAACCAGGTTTTCTGAACACCTTGAGCAAAGTCCTGAGGATGTTTGATGTACACCTTCACTAAAAGACGCTTTTTACCGGCTCTGAACCGACTCCTGAACGAATGATAATGAGTAAAGTAGTGAATCGTACTAATCACTTCATTTACATTAAACCTTTCATCTTCTAGAGAAAATCACAATAAAAATTATGTCATATGTGATAAGTATTCATTCAATTGTAGTCGATTGCTTGATGGCTAAAAGCTGGTCTACAAATATCGATCGAATGATGGCTAAAAGCGAAATTTCTTTTAAAAACCCTTTTTTTGCCTAACCAAATAACTAAATACTTAATAAAAAGGAGATATATTTTTTTTATATTCTTGGGTATGGAAGAAGTTACGTAAAATTAAATTTATGTGTAAACAAGTGAAAAATTTTCTGCTTTGTATCAGAAATTACTCATAAATTAGTTGCAAGGCTTAAATAAATATGCAAAAGAAAAAGTAAGTGAATGAAAACACGATAGATACATTTCCATGAAAAAAAACTATCAGAACAAGTGTGAAATCAATTACTTTTAATTAATTCAGTAGTATAAATTAGTTTAGTAAATTGTTCTTCATTCACTTAAAATGCTGTCATCACAATAATATTTGAATCATTCTTCAATTCATGATTATCATTCTCGGTATTATGCTTATCTTGTTGCGTTATTGTTTGTGATTGAATTTCTTGTTTAGTATTAGTTGTCAGCTTCATCCATCCATCCCATGTTGCTGATCGTGAAACTAATCTATAGAATTTAACATCTTCTAGGATATTCCGGAATTGATTTGTTGAATGAACACCCTCTTTCATTAGTCGACTATCGTTCATTTCATTATCATTTATTTCACAATAGTTAAGATGTTTGGAAGTAGAATCACTATCATTATGATGATTATTTAACTCTTTTATATCGATATGATTATCTGGAGTTGATGATGTCACTAAACCGTCACATTCCTCTTCTTCATCATCATCATCATCATCATTATCTCCACCTTTGTAAATAGAATTCAATTCATCGTTACCTAAAGATAATGATGAATTATGTGAATTTTGTTCTTCTTTTTCTACTATTGGTTCAATTGAACGACCAAGTCTCCAATTTCGCATCAATGAACATAATGTATTAATTGGTTTATTTGATAGAGTAGATGATGATGAAGATGACTGTGTTGATGATGTTGATGATGAAGCTGTTGTCAACAATGATAATGTTGATGTATCATGTATTGTCGGAATTGATGAATTCACATCCATTGAGCTTTGAACGAGTGAAGATTTGTTTGAAAATAAGTAAAATTTAAAGCAGAATTATAAAATAAATAAAAATGTACAATATTACTTTTCAACAAAGTATACTGCCATTAAATAATATACAACCTATAGTACTACAAGAATATAAATAATATTACAAAAACTATTTTTAATTTTTAGATTCAATATGCCCATGGTCTATTAATTTCATACTTTAAGATATCAGTAGGAGGACTATTAAGAACCTGGAGGTACCATACAAATGTTTCGTCCTAGTATGTGACTCTTCAGCAGGGCATACCCATGACTTTCATGTTTTACGGTGACCACTTTAATATTGAACTGATAGGTTGGATTCCATTGGTGGAAATATTTCTAATTCTGTCAGTTCATGATACAACGCAATCTTAATTTACTGCTGTCACTGTATACGCATCCTCACTTCCGACTCGTTGGACTGTTTTAAAGTAATGTAACAGTAATGTGTTTTATGGGTGTTGAGTCATCCCTAGTGCACATGTTTGATGTTAGTTACATGAACAATTTTTCAGTCATTAAACTGTCTGTCCTCTCACCTGTTTCCACACATTTGTGCAATTATTACCATTATTTGTCCCTTGGGTTCCTAGTGGAACATATGGATTCAGTAGCATGTCACCATTTCACTCTCTTCTCTGCAGTCTTTTCAACCTGGCTTCATGACTGTCCCCAAGCTTTCATTTCTTCCTCACATGATATCCTCCATGTCACCTTTGGACGCCCAACTCATCGTTTCCCATTTGGGTTCTACTCGAGGGCCTAGTGTGTGATGTCTTTGAATGCTCTTCTCAGTGTATGTCCAATCCATCTCCACTTTCATCTGCATATTTGTTGAGCGATGGGTTGTTGGTTGGTTTGTTGCCAGCCAAAGTTCCTTGTTCGTGTAACTAGATGGAATAAAATGTACCCCTGCTCGACTATTCTCGTTAACCTTGGTTACCTGCTTCATCCTGTTCACTTGACTTCACAATTGTTGCAATCGATTCTATCTAATGGGCCATTTGGGATCCTTTAGCCTAAAAAGCTTGTTTTATAGCGAGTTACGGTTAAGTGTCATCCAACCTTGTGTGCTAGCAATTTACAGGCCATGAATTAGTAATAAATGGTGTTTTTCCACTATTACTATACATATTTGCGTTGTTTGTGTAACTCATATACTTTCTTACAATTGCTAACATAATCTCAGATCAATTTACGAGGATATTCATTGAGTGTTAGGATTGCAATAGTCTTATTTCCTATTTTACTGATTCGATATTTCATTTTATTATTTAAGCATTTCACCAAACCTACGTTAACTGACAAATGATGAGACGACTTAATGCTTAAGTATTACTTTTGGAAATGCTACTACCTGTTTCCTAAAACAAGGAAAAGAAAAAAAATTATAAAAATGTAGTAAGAAAGTTGTGGTATTACCTGTGATATGAATATGAGGAGTACATAATGTTCCAAAGTATCATCAATATGTGGAGTATTCAGAAAACGAATCAACCTGTCATTCTTCCAAAGAAGACTTAGGGTATATTCCCCCCTATGGTGTCATGATATATTAGACATGACACGTAAGCACTATGCCTCGGAAGTTTTGCTCTTGTTTCTAAGGCAATAAAAGCTCACGCAGATTTTCAATGAATTATTATCAAACAAAACCAATTTTATCATCTAATTTCAATAACTATAAGCAGGGTAGTAGATGAGATAGTCAAAAGGGAGCGTTAAAAAATTAATTTTTACACAAATCCACTATCTTTCAAGTTGTCATTGCTATCTAAAGTATATGCTCCTAACTTCAATTATTTGATGCTGGAACTTGTTACTGACCGTTGTTGTTCTGTTCGGATCAAATTGATCGGTATCTGCTGGCATATAAGCCTCCGTGTAGATGCCTAAACATAGCCGGAGATTTCATCAGGATGGAAAGTTGTTAGTATAGGAATCCAGGATGCACATTTCCTTTGATATAAGACTTTCATTGAGTAATGATGTTGCCTTATAACTTCAGATACTGAGACGTTACCCACTATTTCTCCACAGGATATAATGTGGTGTGTGAGTAAGCGTCCTAGATTCCATCACCAGCCATCATCTCTCCCTAAAACCAAAACTTCAACTGTGTTGTCTTCGCAATTTCACATTAATCACAAAACCATAGAAAAATGGTGGGTACTTTGCATCTGTTTTGTCTTTTTCTAGAACTTCTCAACAGTATGCTTTGAATACCATATACAGCGTCGGATTCTGACAATTACATCACGCGGCGGTTACTTTATAGACTTCATGTGATACTTTGACGACTTTTACAGGTCATTTGTAAACTTTCATTCTACAACAGATTAGAGTTAGCATTTATAATCAATTTTCTAGTTGCATAGTGATTCTCTTTCTAAAAATATAGAAATCAGGTTTAAAAGGTATTGATGAAGACAATGATTACTCAATGCTGCTGTTCTAAAACTTCTTTTTATCTCCAGTTATAGACTACTAATAAGTAATCATTTCAGCCGTAAGCATATAGCATTGTCAAACGCTCTAAGAAATCTTTCAAATCTTCTAAATCTTAAGTATTCATAAACAGGAAGAAACCTTAACTGTGAACAAACAGACACTTCATTTGATCTTCTGGCTTATTGTTGCTTTGAAAGCTGCATAAAATTTCAGCTGATTTAGTTATTTAATAATTCTTATTGTAACATCAAGAACAAGATATTCAGAGAAGAGACTTTTCAATAAATTAATTTTCAAGCCGTACACTCCTCAATTGACTTTTACCAGAAATAAACTATTCTCCGTTTTTGTAAAACATAAGCTCCTGCTTTTAGTCACCTCTATGTGGAGCAAGGTAAATGGGTCGTAGCCAGGGAATGCCTTCTACACGTATACAACAACATGTTCCAGCTTGGTCTTTATAAAGATGAAAGAAATTCTTTTGGAAGTTCGATTCCAGAACATTTGATTGATTTCCATCACTCAACAAACCCAGATAACAACTTTAAAATTGCTTATTGAATTCACCCAAACCTCCTACGTTCTCTTTGTTTTCAACTCCTTAGAAAAGCTGAGGCTTTAGCTATTCATGAACTAAAACCTGATCTGTGTGCAGAAAAGAAGTATGTACAGTCACTACTTTTACCATGGACATAACATTTCCCCACCCACATTAATTTCCTCTCTCTCTTTGTTAATTTAATCTTTGTATCCTTCCTTTACCACCATTATTGTTCTGATAACTGCCTTCACTTTGATTAGTTTCCAGTGTTATTTCACTTAGTTGTCTTAATTGTTCTAGAAAACATTGATTTCATCTTGACCAACTTGTCTAATCTTATTACATAACACTTAATTGACCCAGCACTTTCACCAATTTTTTCAGCCCTTTCTGAGTTATACACCTTCTATGAACCATTCTGTATATTAGGTAATAATTTACTCTGTTATCATTCATACTTCAGCTGTTATCATAGTTTCAAATACCTATGTCATCATCCGTATTATTATTATTGTCATCGTCATCATCATTAGCATCAGCTTCATCACCATACAGTGTTTAGTATTCCTCAGGGAATATAATTTTCCAAATACCATATGTATATATATATATATATATATATATATATATATATATATACGAATGTACAGCTTGAAAATCAATTCATGGAAAAGTCTCTTTACTGAATATCTTCTTGATTTAGTCATTTTCACTTTTTCACCTACTGAGTGGTAAGTAATGACCCAAACCTACTTTCTGAAAGTTAATGATACTACTTATTTACATAGAGCTTAGTAAAAGAAGCAAGATTTAGTTTTATAAAATACTGATTGAAAGTAGAATTTCAGTTACACCTATGAAAGACGGACAACTTGATGCTTAGGATTGCTAATACATATTTGTTCATCTCTCTTCTTAAAGACGGGTACATAGGATGAATAAACTTTGTCCAGTTAGTATGTTTATTGTTTTAGGGTTGATCAGACAAATTAGTAATGAAACTGTAACAAATTATCCATTTCTGAGAACTTATCTGATTCTGGTCATACATTCTCAAGATTACAACTGTTTCTCACAAATAAGTATCATTTCATGTTGTTTCAATATCTTCAAGGTAAAATGAATTGTGTAGTATATTGTTTGAAAGCTTAACTATTTTGCACACACACTCTCTTTCTCAAGCCTATTAAATATATGGAAAACTACATACAATGAGCATTAGATTAGAAATATAAGGTGATCATATTGAATGTACCTTTTTTGAGCAACAACAAACTGAAGAACAGCATATGATAATAACTCACTTTGGGGAATACAATATAATGCGTAAAACAATTTCCAAATGTTTAAATAGTAACCAGAAAGCATTTCAAGGTATATCGTCTTTTTGTGTAGAATACATGAGAAAAGTTTATTCAACTTTTAGTATATCACCTCATTTGAAGAAGAAATCACTTTGTACTTAACCAAGACATTTAGAAAATATTACAAGTGTTGAGTTAATACAGTATAAAACATTAGGTGAATAAAGATCGAAAACTCAAGGGCACTGGGCATTTCTTTCGGCCTAATGGGAGACTCAGCAGTGGGCACTCATTACCTCACTAAAGATCAATCGATAGAATCCCCAAACACTACCAGATTAAATTGATGTCCAATTCTCATCAGGGATTTTATTCTTCAAGATAAGATTCGCGAAATTCTAATGAGAAGCCGTGACCGGGTGGCGCCAACCGAATCTCATGTGAGAATAGATTCTCAACGAGGGCACTGGGTACAAGTCGACTATATCATGACTTGACATGGCCGGACAAATCGTGAACCGTTGTATTGTGACCCAGTCACTCAGTGGGAACGTACTCTCAATGAAAGCTAAACGTTTTGAATTCGATCTCTGTTATGAAGTCCCATGCTAGAACGAGACATTGTTTCAAGGTTTCCAATCGTTCTCAAACTGATGTCATTCAATAATCAACGCC